AAAATCTGTTACACACATTCATTCAAAGCAATTGCTATGCATTATTGACAATTTCAAAGTCTGGAAAGAGAATTACAGATGAGAATTCCTTTTACTTCTATTCACAGTTATGAGTTACATAATCTGACCCCAATGTAAAGCTGAATTTTTAAAAATCCAGAAAATGGTATAACTATCTTCATCACAATCCAGACAGGAGATGCATGCATTTCCACAAGTCCTGATTTGATGCAACCAGAAAAGCAAATATTTTTTCCCAGTTTTATTCTGTGACATACATAGGGGGAAAAGTCTACATTCAAGAATTGTTATGTGTATCTACTACATGGTGAGGCCATTAGAAGGGATGCAGGTAGAATGTGATGAACTTATTTGTCACAGGGTGATTTAAAAAACCTAAAAGAGGATCCTTAGTGTAGCTGAGGTTCTAACACAACAGTATATTTGCATAGAATTAACCTATCTTCAATTACATACATGTGATTCTATAAAAAAAAATTAGTATTTTTCAATATGTACACATCCAACAAATTCTTCAGTATTCTGGGAAAGAATATGCATAACCTCATATATCAATAATATGCCCTTAAAAAAAAAAGAGGATGAAAAATAGATAATTGCCAATAAAAACACATTATCAGCAATCAGCAATGTCTGGATTGTGATGAAGATAGTTATACCATTCTAACTAGAAGAAAATTAAGCTGCTTGAAGCTTCTTAGGATAAATAAATCATAAAACTAGTTATGTATTCTGTATAAGTAAAATACTAGGTTAAAAGTGTAAAGCAAACTAGTAGATTTTTTAAATTCTGGATCTGAAATAGAAAGGCAATTCTAGAATAAAATATTTTTCACTAATAAAAATACTTTATAGCTAAGGCTCTAAACAGAATCTTATCAACACCTCTGTCTAGTATTAATAAAGTTCAAAGCCATGTCTACAGAAAAATGTTGGCAAGCCAAACTTGCACAATTAAAATAAATACAATGTCACGTGATTTGCTCTCCCAAAGCCTGGAATTGTGACCTTAACTAAGGTCATCCCAATTCTAAAGCTATAAATAACTACTTTTGCTGAACAAAACTTTAAACCATTAGTTCACACAGAATGTGCTTGTACCTATTTAATGTGTATGTCCCATTCAAATACTTAACCTGTGCTTATTCATTCAACAAATATTTATTTCTGTCTCTCAGGCCAGGCAACGTACAAATGAGATTAAGACTAACACAATACCTCTCCTTAAAGGACTAAGCCAAGTAGAGAAGACAATGAACAAATAATTGCAAAAAGTCATCATCTGGCAGCTAGAATAAGCAGCAGTATTTTAACAAATCTAGTCAGGGAAGGTCTTCAGGAGAAAGTCTGGGGCAATGTATTTAAAACAAAAATCTTCAAGGTTATGGTAACAACTATTTCTATAGGTTATTGCTGGTCACTCCCATTAGTTAAATTATTCTCAAAACACAAACTGGCTAACTTATGCTAGGTTTATGATCAGCAATATATACTGCTTAAAGTGGCTTTATTAACCAAAGGTTTTTAGTTGTACTCTCAAACATCAAAACATTGCTACCATTTGGGGAAAATCAAATAGACAAAGTAAAGGAAGAGGCAGCATAAGTTTAAGATATTTCTTAAAATTTACAGTTGACTCCAATCAGTTTCTTTCAGCCTCTTCTCCCCTAATCACATTAAAATCACAATAAAGAAATTTTTTTTAAGTTAGGCATTAAGAACTAAGAAAGAGAGAAGACTAACACATTCCAGAGAATTCATCAGCTTTTTATAAAATTGAAGTGATGGAGGATTGATAATTGACTTAAGAGAACAGAGGCACTATCTGGGTACCATGAAGCAGAAATGAATTGCAAGTAAGCTGACCTGCAGTACCGACCCCAGAAAGGGTAAGACCCTGGGAATGGAAGGAGCTCTGGAAGCAAAGTGGTGGGGGTGAAAAGTGGATTAGTTAACAATATGTAAGTACATTAGTGGCTACGCCACCAACCCACATGTCCTCACACATGTATTGTATCGCTGCATCCAGGTTCTTACTCCTCCTGCATCACCTACTCGCTGAAGAAGTTCAATGACACCAGAGAAAGAAAACTATAAAATACTGACCTCAGGATGCCACTCTAATGAAAAGCCAGTGAAAAAGTCATGCACGTGATTAAAGAGCTTCTGAGTGACTTTAAATATAAATAAACAACAACCAGATATATGAGAAAAATCTCCAAGATCAAACAGGAATAAGAGAAACCTAGAAGAAAATTAAAAAGCAAAACAAAACAATTAATATCCTTATAGTAAATAGGAAAATTCAGCAGCAATGCGCCAAGAGTGTATACATGAGCATGGGTAAGCACAAAACAGAACTTCAAATTTAAAAATTAGCGTAGTTGAAATAAATAAGAAGATTGGAAGACAAAGTCAAGGATATATATGTCCCATAAAAAAAAAAAAAAAAAGAATTAAAAAGTTGGACTAGGCCCTCCCTGGTGGCGCAGCGGGTTAAAGCACAGCACTGAGAAGCTCAAGCCACTTCCGCATGAGTTCAATTCCCGCCTGCCCCGGAGGTGACCACATGGTGTGGCAGACCTCTCCTGACCCGCCCACTGCTCCCCTCAGCAGTGTACTTCGTCGATCTGACTGTTCTGCTCCCCACTCTGTGTGTGGTGAATCCTCTCACCCTCCGCATCTCCAGCCTGTACCCCAGTTCTATATGAATAAATAATAAAATCTTTTAAAAAAAAAAAAAAGTTGGACTATAGATAGAATTGGTCTTCCCTGGTGATGCCCAGGGTTAAGTCTCAGCACTACGAAGCTATCACCAGTCACTGCAGCCCGAGTCAATCCCTGGCCAGGGAGCTATGCCACAAGGTGAAGAGGAGTGCTCCTGTCTCACCTACTGCTCCTCTCAGCAGTGTATTTCAGTCAATCCACTTGTTCACTCCCCACTCTCTCTCTAGTGAATCCAACCCCCATCCACCTCTGACCTATGTACCCCAGCTCTTGTATGCATAAATGAATAAATCTTTTTTTTTTTAAAGAAAGAGTAGAACTGGAATTAGATTAGGCTGTCTCAGAGGGGATAGCTTCAGATGAACAGTTTCCAGAAAAAGAGAACAGAAAAAAACAGAGAAATTACTAAAGACATAATACATGTACACATAACTTTAAACATGAATTTTCATATTGAAAGGGTGCTCACATAGGTACCTACCACAGTAAATGAAAAAAAAAAAAAAAGAATGCCTACACCAAAGCTCGTTATTGTGAAGCTTTCAAAAGCCAAGGAAAAAGCAATGACGATGACAAGTTTTCAGAAAGGGGAAAAAAGGATGAAGAAAAAAGGAGTTGCAACCACGGTGATAAGAGTGGAGACCTGGGAAGCGTAAGTCACAGAAGTTTGATATTATCTGACTTTAAAATAATGCACAAGAACTTTTATAAACGCTAAACAATAGTAATGTAAGTAACAAAGTGAAAATACATTCATTGATTGCTTACTACATATGTTAGGGGTCTCATAAGTCTACTAGCAGCGCTAATTTCACTTGACAGGTGAAACCGGCACTGACAAGCAGTGCTGCAGGACAAAGGGGCAGGCCCAGAGTTCTCGCTTTGAGTGTGTGTGTGCTTTTTTTGAACTGCAAGATATTGTCTAACTAGCTTTTTAAAAGAAAATACTATTCAAGTGTTTCCTACCTTCCTATTCTGTTCCCGAATCAACCATGGGTGATTAGGAGTCCTGACTTGGTTAATAAGGACACAAGTTGAATGTTATTCTCCTTTCTAAGTCACAAAGAACGGTTTGTCTTTGTGTGGGCGGTGAAAACTGTATTCATTAGCTACTATTTAAGTAGTCCTGTACTTTGTGCTATGCATTTGTATTTGCTGCTAGAAGGTCCATAAAACAGATTTCCTAACCTCAATGCATCAATAACCTCCACTAAAAGAACTGATGCACTTTGATCAGAGCACCACTGTGCATTTAGACAAAGAATAAACAGTAGGTACATTTAAGCTAAAAACAGAATAGCTCATTTCTTTTCTAAACTGCCATCTAAGTCCTTCATACTCTTTTAATATTTAAAGGAAACTTCCACCAGACGATATGCCTCGTCATTTTACATGAGTACTTAATAAATATACTATGACAAAAACACCCAGCCCCTTTATTCACTCATCCCTCACTCGCATCTTTGCTTTATCAACTACATTACTATATTTGAACACTTTCATCTGAGGCTTCTGCAGACCAGCTGGCTTCACTTGGTTCCCGCTTTTGCTGTCTTGTCCATGTTCTCACTTATTTCTCTGGCTTTACTAGGGGTAATGAGCGGGGTACATAATCTCCTTTTGAATAGACATCTTCAATCCTTCTGACCTACAACAGGGAAGCTACAGTTTTGGTATTTCCTCTCCTGGGAGGACTAATAAAGCAGTGGCTTTTGAGACCTCAGACCACTGCTTCAAAATTCACTCTACTGCTCTGAAGCACTGGATCACTGGCTGTTGCCCTGGCTAGCCTGGATGTCCTCTTCTCTCACTTAAGTAGCCTTCACTTTCTGCCTGTCATACCCTAGTCCTCTCTGAGCCATGTTTTAGTGTTGCTATTATCTTTTGTTCTCGCTGTCCTGTTTACTTTCCCTTGCTTTTGGTCTGGGTTGGTAGACGGTAGCTGCAACTTTCAACATCTTGCTGTGTCAATGACAGCATCTTCCAGGTCTTCCCAACATTCGGTCAAAGAACTGGGGTGCTGGGCCTAGAAGGTCTAGGTCTCTCTCAAAAGAGGTTCCACGCGCCCTGCAAGATCACAGTGCGTCGCCCTCCAGTGTCCAGCGTGACGGTGCCCCGCAGTCTCAGGAGCACTCGGCACCCAGTCCCGACTCCCGCCGCCCCTCCCCGCGCACAGGTGGAACACCGGGAGGCCCTACCCTCGGGCGTCACCTGCGGGCGGCCCCGGCGCGCGCACGCGCTCTCGCACCTACCGTCTCCTTGGCAGCCGCCACCGGGATGGGAAGCAGCCCCCGGCCGCGAGACGGGTCCTCCGGCTCTGCAGCCACGCTCTCGGAGCGGCGCCCCGGGGACGGCGCCGAGTCGGCCCTGGGGTCCCCGTACAGCTGGTAGCACAGGAGGCCGACCAGACCCCCGCCCGCTGCAGCCGCGATGCTCAGCTCTCCCCAGCGCCGCCGACGCCTCCACGCCGCCTCTGCCACAGCCCCCTCCTCCTCCTCCCTGCAGGAGAAGGGCCGGCTCGAAGGGCCCTGGGCCATCCCCACCGGGCGACCCCACGGCCCCGGGAAGGGATGGTGCGGGGAGAGCGGAGTGGGGAGCCGAGGCGGCGGCC